GAAGACAGATATATATATATATATATATATATATATATATATATGTATGTTGTCTAGCTCCGATACTAATGAAAGTCGGCTATGTAGAATTCCAAGCTATAAAATAAAATATTTTCTTTTATTAATTGCTGAAAATTCTACTTACAGGTACTACAAATACAATAAATTCAGCCTACTACAATCTAGTATCTTTATAAACCTATTGCCAAAATAAACTTTATTCAATTGAATACAAAATTGAGACTTTAGGAAGCAAAAATAAGATAAAAACATTAGGAAATAGAACTAAATAAATAAGGGAAGACTTACGGACTTTTTAGCCTAGGGGTACCCCTCTAAGGCTAAGCAAACCCCACACCGGATCACCTAACAAATGGCACACTTGATCCTAGAACCTGCTGAATCCACCAATCTGAAACTAATGAAAATTATGAGGCAAGAGAGCTAGGGTCACAATTAGGGTTTCATTAGTAACCCTTTTTTTACCTTGGGGCATGCCACAGCTGGCACCTCCCCTAAAACTAGTGCTACGGTTGGGCGTGCCCCTTCTTTTTTCTCTCTCTTTTATGTTGGGAGCAACCGCACCACCCACCCACCCACACCCCCCATCCCCTCCCAATTTATAGGCCTCTAAGGCTATGAGTCCCAATCAAAAACCTTAATCCTCTGAGATTTGACCTATATCCACTTCTAATCCATCTATAACTTTTACCACTCAAAGCTTATTCTTTAGAATCTAGACAATCTAGGATAATTTAGAAATCCTATTGTCTCACAAAGAGATAATTAGAAATCCTATTATCTCACAAAGAGATAATTTAGAAATCCTATTATCTCACAAAGAGATAATTAGAAATCCTATTATCTCACAAAGAGATAATTTAGAAATCCTATTATCTCACAAATTAATTCAAACTTTGGTCAAAGATAACTAGATAACTAAAAAGGCATCAAGATAATCTTTAAACAAAATTTTTTATTCAAATAATGTTTTCACTAAGAAGATATCTTTTTAAAACATATAATGTGATGTTTAAAACATGTGCCACTTAAAAATGGGGCATATGATAGAGAGGGATGTATGGCCCCTAGCAGGCTTAACGTGATGTCCCCTATGAAAAAGGTGTGGCTATGTGGAAATCAAGGTATTAAATTCAACATTTTTCTTTTATATTTATTTCAAATATCTGAATTCGACTTACATGGGCCACAATATGTTGCTGAAAAATTAAAACAATACCCTAGATACAATCTAAGATCTTTATTTTTATTGGCAATTGAAATAAAAACAATCCAGGAACTTTAAACTAACTTTTATTACAATTTTTAACACAATATAAGTGCCTGAAAATTTACAGAAAATAGAAATTAAAACTGAATAAATAAAAACTAATGCAAAGACTTACTGGAAGATGTCTGGAGTTACCCATCCAGGACTTGGTACATCCCACATTTGATTCCTGACTAATAGCGCACTTTTGCTCCTTAAAGTGTTGTTAGAAATCCTAAGATAGGGAAGCTTTGTCGGCAATCCTTCTTCCTCTAGGGTTTTAGAGCTCAAAATAAACTAGAGTTCATACAAATCATATGAGAACAAAAATATGGCTGATCTTGGGAGTTGATCTCTCTATAGTGGACTTCCCTCTTTTTCCTTAAAAAAATATAGCAAACCCTAGTCCTAGGGTTTCACATCTCACAAAAAATAAAAACTTATACGAAGACTTACTGGAAGATGCCTGGAGTTATGCAACTAAGACTTGGTACATCCCACATCCAATTCCCTAACCAATGACACACTTTTGCTCCTTAAGGTGTTACTGGAATTCTAAGATAGGGAAGCTTTGTAGGTAATCCTTCTTCCTCTAGGGTTTTAGAGAGCTCAAAATAAACTAAGGTTTATACAAATCCCACGGGAACAAAAATATGGCTGATCTTGGGAGTTGATCTCTCTATTCTTCTTCCTTAAAAAAATACAACAAACCCTAGTCCTACGGTTTCAAGTCCCACATTATTTTCTTTCACAAAGGGTGGCGTGGATAAAAATTAGAGGAGCGAGAAGGTGGCGTGAGGGGGGAGAGAGAGAGAGAGAGAGAGAGAGAGAGAGAGAGAGAATCTCTCACAATTTGGTGCATGAGGGAGAGAGAGAGGTCCCCCCCAATTTGGTTTGTGAGAGAGAGAGGAGAGAATCTCCCAATTTGGTGCGTGAGGGAGAGAGAAAAGATCTTGTGATAGCTCTTGAATAAGTTCAAACTTGGTCTTTAAATACAAGGAAATCTAGAAGAAAACCTATCTCCTAGGTTGAATAGGATTTGCCTTATCTAATTTCCAGTTAAACCTTTTAGGATAATAGGAAATCTGTGAAATGAGAGATTAGAGCCATCCATCCCAAAAATCAGCCATCATGATTTTGAGTGGAAAGTTTAATAATCTTAGCTCCTTACACTTTGACCCAATCCACTTCTATTTAAATTATAAATCTAATCAAATTTAAACTTAATCTATACCTCTCATTAAGTTTGAAATCAAACTTAAATATTATTTGGATCTAGATTTCCCACAATATTAGGAAACCATATCTCATTAGATTTCTCATCTGTAGATTTAGCAAGTTTAAATTTGAAACAAAATAAAATAAGGAGGTGTGTCCCTTTTTTCCTAAAATATGGCGTGGAGCCATATTCCACAAAAATGTGGTGTGGGGAATACTATGTCACAAAAAGGGGCGTGCCCCTCCTCCCTTCTACCATTAAAAAAATATTTAAACTTTTAAAAGCGGTGTACCACCCTAGGAGCCCATGTGGCCTCACTTGGGTGGCACACACGTGGCGGTTGGTTCCTTGGTCCCCACATGTGCTTAAAGATGCTATGAAATTTTCAGAAATACCCTTTTATGAAAATTTACAGTAGAGAATATTTTAAAATTCTAAAAAAATAGTTAAAAATATATTAAGAGTAGATTAGTACCAATGGGTCAAAATAAGCGATAATAAGGACACTCCACTCACCCCAGAAACCATGATTCACAACTGTTCTCTTATCCAACTCAACAAAGTCCCGTAACCCACAATCTCTTTGTAGGGGCTCATGATTGACTTCTCAAAGTTGGATAATAACAGTGGGACCATGATTCTGGAATGTAGATTTCAGTTCTCCCCACGTTTAAGAGCAAGTCTAGCACTTGTCACTACAGTGCAAGTGGGGCTCTTTCAATGTAGATGTGTCCTTCTAGAAAGGGCTGCTTCTTATGCGACTGTCATGTGTACATTCCCTATGGAAGTCTATTGAGGATTATGGCCCTTGTTCTCACAAGCCTATATCCGCACACAGGAGATCACACAGTTCTCTTGGCCTACAAACATGATCCCTAGGCATCTCTCCAACCTCAACAAGGGATGACTCACTGCAAACCCTTCTCGGTAGTGCCACATGCCCAAGGCCAAGGGTTTTGGATATGACCAGGGTCATAAACCACCCAACCTTTGGTTATTCATCACACACACTCCCACTGAAGTGTATATTTTACTGTACATATCATTTTTACATGCTCTCTAGGCCTTTAAAGGCCACAAAACCCATCATTCTAATGGGGCCCCACATGTGTGGCATTGGTGCCTTAGCTCAGCACGTGTGTCCCACCAATCTTTTGAAAATTTCCAGAATGCCCCCATAATTTTAATATTCCAGAAATACCCTTTTAGGGTATTTATACATTTAAAAACGTTTTTAAAATTCTAAAAATTTTAAAAATTCACAATAACACGATTTAAGCTGAAACAATATTTTTGGAGTTTCATAAAATCTAAAACATACAGAAATATAACTTAAAGGTGGATAGGTACCTAATGGGTCGAAAACAAGCGAATATCAAAGCGATCCACCGGATCCATGATCCATTACTGTCTATTACTGTCTTTTCAAACTAATTCAATGGGACCCATGATCCACAAACAAGTGTAGGGGCTCATGATTGACCCATCAAAGTTAGCCAATAAATAGTAGAACCATAGTCCCAGTATGTGGACTATAGGTTCTCCTTAAGAGTAAGTTAAGTGCACACACAATGCAAGTGGATGCTCTCTATGCACATGTACACGTGTCCCTCATAAAGGGTTGCTTCCCAAAATGTGGTTGTCATATGATCGTGTCGTGCTGAATTTTGTTGAGGATTTGACCCTCGCTGTCACAGGCCCTTCCTCCGTACACAGGAGACTACATAGTTCTCTTGGCCTACAAACAACTCCCCTAGGCATCTCTCCGACCTCAACAATGGATGACCCACAATAAACCCTTAGCCGTTGTACCAAATACCCAGGGGTAAGGGTTACGGACATGACCTGGGCCTTAGGCTACCCAACCCTAGGTCAGTCAGCCATAGTACACTTCTACTTAAGTGCACAAATCACTGTAAAATATTTTATATACCAGCTCTCTAGGCCTTTAAAGGTCATAAACAAACCCTTCCCTAGACTGGTGTTTCTAGCTGTGTTCTGTAGCTTAATTTGCTAAATTTTGCAAGAGAAATTGCTATGTTGGCTTCCGGTAATATCTCAAGGAAAGTATATGTTGTATGTTATCTCAAGATTGAATTGGGTTCTTATTATTTTTTCCTTTTCATGTAAGAAGCTTATTATCTTTTCCTTTTCATGTAAGAATTAAAAACTTTGTGCATGAATATGAAAGAATTGGCTGAGAATTGATAATTTTAGTGCATGATCTTTTCTTCTCACTTGAGGAGAAGCATGGTTTGTTTAGTGAAAGAAGGAAAGGCTTTTGATGTTTAAGTATTTGCAGGGATAATATCAAGGACAGAGATGCACTTTTTGACCTTATCAGGAGTGTACAATCCATGAGGGATACCACTTTGAGTAGAGATTCTGCTATTGATAATTGTATCCCTATAGTTAGTCACTTGGATGAGGCTTACTTCTATTCTGTTCCATCCACTGGGGCTACTGTGACTTTAGATTCAAGCATCAATCTTCTATACAAGTATTGTGATAAGTTACCTGGAGACAAGTAAGTTTCTTACCATTTGAATTTTCTTCGTTACATAGTTACTTTTGGGAAAGCATATATTCCATGGTAAACAGGGTATTGTTTTCTTCAGTTTCTAAGTCAACATGTTTGGTGTTAGGTACTACACTCCAAGGCCAGCATTTCAGTACACCTTAGTGGGAAAATTTTATCAGTGTACATTAACTCTACCACCTAATGCAGCATTTCATATGTTAAAGGGACCTGTGAACCGTAACAGTCATGTTTCACGGCAGCTTGCATGTCTAGAAGCATGCCAAAAATTGCACAAAATCGGGGCCCTTGATGATCATCTTCTTCCAATAATTGAAGAACCAGAAGAAAATGATTTAGTTGGAGAAACTATAAGGTCATCTTTGGGTGCTGGTGGGTCCTTTCTTTATGTCTCAATTTGTTGTATATGCTAAATCAATAGCATCTGACACAACTTTTTATTAAGTGGTTTGGTGGCAGTGTTTCTTTATTAGTGGAGTTTGGGGTATAATTTTAAAATGTGCACTTTGCTTTTTATACAACAGACACCTCTCTTTTCATTACTCATGTAACCCATTTGAAAAAATTTCCTTGTAGAAGTTATATGTGAATTGCATTAGAATGATGACTCTCTCGATTTGGACAAAGTGTTTGATTTATGTTGACATGGTCCAGCCATTTGGCATCACGTGACTGAATTATTCTATCATAGATGAACTGACCTCTGAAAAAATCCATCTTTTGCATCCACTGCCTCTGCTTGCCTTCTGAAGTGTGTTTGTGGTTTTCTCCCTGCTCATCTCTGGTCTTCAACATCACTAGTAAAAGCCTCTATTAAGTTATATTCGGTTTCCGCTTTGAAGATATTACAGTTTTATTAAGTCTTTTAAGAAGATACTGTCTTGTTTCAGAACAGCTTCTTCTAATCCGTTAATACTAGGGACGATTGACCTTGCTTGTTGTCTTCTTTGGACTGGCAGTATATAGAGTAAAATACATCTTTCTGGGAAGAAGGAAGATGCTGTTGGGTGCAAGCATGTGTTGTATGACGTATATAAAAAGTGAAACGGAAAGGCCAATTGTCGTCAATGAAATTATAAGACCATAACTTCTATTGTGGAACAATAGACCTCATAAATATTTGGTGTGGCTAGGGGCTTGGACTCTTCTCAATGAGCAAATGTAGAACGAAATAAATTGGGCTCTTGCCTTCTTTTAGAAGGCATAGCCAACCTATGTAATATCATCATTCTTTGATCTTTCATTTTGAGTCTCAGGCAACTACCTTATCCCTGGGAAACAATACTCCCATTCCCTACACCCTTGTGATGGATCCTTCCAACCTCCACCATAGTTAAACCTTGTTTCAATTTGAAGTTGAACATGCCCTTGTGACCTTATATCACTTTTTCTATCTGCCACATCAACCTTAAACATCTTAAATGACAAAATGTCACCATCTCGAACTCCTTTGTCTTTTTAGCAGCATATTGATGGTGCAACATGCATGTATCATGTGGTATATATATTGGTTTCTTTGTGTGTTGGCTATTTCTGCATGGTAATATAGTTCTGAGTTTCTCTCTGCTAGCACTGGATTTCGATATATTAAGAAATGCCATTCTCGTGCTTGCTTGGCCTTTACATAAATGGGGGTATATGCTAATGTGCTATAGTTTCGATATTTTTGAAGTGAAATCACCTTTCTTGATTTATTTTTAGGAACAACTAGAAGGAAGGAGCTCCATGGTACAGCCCAAGTGCATGCTATATCTGGAACCTGGTCGCATGAAGTGGATGATGTCACTTTCCATGCATATAAAGTATCATTCTCTTCTAACACAATTGGGGAGCAATATTCTGGATTCGTACTATTAATGGGCACATTATTGGACAATGATGTGGCAAATACTAAAATAAATCTTAATCTGAAGTCCAATAAAGTGGTTGAATCTTGTATTTTTTCATGTGGTGAAATCAATTTGAATGCAGATCAGGTTTGTGGAGCATGTTGTTCAGATGTTATATTGTTTTCTTCCTTGTGATGCTTCTTTCATTCTAGTACTTGCTTCCATGACTTATTTGTTTTCCCATGCTTCAGGTGAGAAAATCAAAATTATTCCATGAAATGTTCTATAATGCATTGTACCGCAAACTGTTTCAAATGTTGAAGAATTTAAATGGGGTTGAAAAGCAAAAGGAGGGTCTTCTAGAAAATGGAAACATGCAGTTATGGACAACTTCCAATATGTACTTGCTCTTGCCACTTATAATTGCTCCACATGATCATGAAGCAGTAAGTATTGATTGGGAGGGTGTTAATGCTTGTGCCACGATGATGAATTTTTGGAAGAACACTTCTTTGCCCATTGGAAAGTGTGGATTCTTTGGTGCCATGCAAAGTTGGTCGTTTTTCAGTACTACTTGTGAGGATGAACACATGATGTCAAGAATATTCCAACTTGCTAATGGAGCCTTCCCTATATCAGACCTGAAACATAGAGTGGTTTTGTCTGTTCATACTGGTCGTGTTTATTGTATAATGGATATGATACACAACACTATGGCTGATAGCCCATTTGAAGAGGATGCAACTTCACAATACAGTTCTTACGCAGATTATTTCAAGAAGAAGTATTTGTTGCCAATGTTTTGTTTTTCTATATATTCAGAATATAAAGTTCCTAGTGTTGAGATTTCTTTATTTACTTCTCATGCGGAAAAGCTATTATTTGATATCTTTATCTGTGTAGGTATAACATCGAACTTAAATACCCTGGGCAACCATTGTTTCTTTTGAAGCAGAGCCATAATCCACACAACCTTCTTTTGGGTAAGCCTAATTCTGAAGCTAAGCATATTGATAGCAGCCATATATTGCTATTGGTAAAATGAACTATTTGCATCTGCCATTTTTGAGATTAATCGGTAATTTCCAATTTATGAAATTTAATAATATCTGGACTGCACATGAAATGTTCTGAAACATTAATTTTCACTGCGGTGAATTGTATCCTTCCCAATTCTGCTTTTATGGGCACTTGGTTTTTGCCTTGCGTAATTCATTCTACGAGGAAAACTTTATAAGAAGTGAACTTAAATATACATGTTTATTGTGTACTTTTAATGTTCTGCAATGAATATTGATGGATTTATTTTTTGTTGTTGCGTTTGACCATTGAAGCAATTTAACTATGATGAAGAGGATAATTCTTGATGATTTAGTTTGATATTTGCTTCTGATTTTTCACCAGCTGGTTCTTTTGAAAAGAGTGGTCCTGAAGACGATGTGAAGATGCCAGTGAATGGGCCACAGGGCTTCATCAGAATGCCTCCTGAGCTTCTAGTTAACCTTAGTCTATCAGGAGATGTTTTGAAGTCCTTTTACTTGCTCCCTTCTTTGATGCACCGAATGGAGTCCTTGATGTTGGCTTGCCAGCTTAGAAAGGAAATTACTTGCCAAATCGGTGATCACAATGTGTCTAGTGCTTTGGTATGCTTTCTAGCTGTTCATGGTGTATGCAAATGCTTAATTTTAAATACTTAACAAACTCAAAATATTTGCTTTATGGACAGATGTTGGAGGCAATTACAAGTAAAAGATGTTCTGAAAATTTCTCCCTTGAGCGTTTGGAGTTATTAGGGGATTCAGTATTGAAATATGCAGTAAGCTGCAAGCTCTTTCTGAAATATCCAGAGAAGCATGAAGGGCAATTATCTGCTTGCAGGTCACGGGCTGTATGTAATGCAACACTTCACAAATTGGCGACGAACCACAAGTTGCAGGTATAATGTAAAACATTTTAAAGTGAATATGTAGTTGAATTTTGATGTAGAGGACTTGAATAAACATAGAAAATCAGCAAGAAAGTACATTGGGACAATCAATTTTGGATAAGCCCTAAGGTTTTCTCCTACCTAGGGCTCAAGTCTTAGGCTTCTTTTCCCAAGATAGTCTTTCTTTTCTTAAAAGAGGAATACATGAATGTCTTTCCAGCCCATCCACGCCTTTATTTATATTGGCAAATTATTGATTTGGACAATATTTGTCCATACAATTAAATTTTAACTAAACGGTCCAAACTTAATTATAACTTAATACTAAACTCCTTAACTTGTCGGAAGCATTACCTTGCGAGTTCTCATAAACCACAACTCCAGCTAACGGCCATGCTCTCTTAAACCAAGCCTCCTGCTAATTCCATCTCACACTTGGTCATGTCCACTGTTTCCACCAAGTCTCACTTGCTTATGCACATGGTCAGGTCCTAGCGCTACCACCATGTGTCTCGGTATGTGGCCAAATCTTCCGCTACCACCACGACCCATGTTGCCGCCTACAATCTCAAGAGGATGATCACACACTAGCTTGACCATAGGTTGACCAATCATGCCGATTGTCAAATCTCCTCTACTTAGCCTCACTAGGGCTAGGTTGATGGCTTGCCCCATCACACCTCCCATTGGTGGAAGAGGCCTCTCCGATTGTTGAGTTAGAGGACTCCTCCTTCTGACCCACTTCCATCATTGATAGTCTCCTTACAATGACCCACTTGAGTCATCACTTGGCTCCTCAGAGTCAGTGGTCTCATCACCTGACCTAGACTCCGCTTAAGCCTGTGCTTTTGTCCCAACCAGCTGCATTATGTTCAACAACCGTAATTAGCTCAATTGCACTAAGGTCTCCTTTGTCCTGCTCTAAATGAACAGTGTTGAGCGTTGCTTTTGTGGGCACACCATTGCCTAATGGCCGCTTCCGCATATGAAATAGCCTGAGATGGCCTTCTGGGGTCCCTCTTTTTGTTTTGTTTTCTCCTTCTTAGGTCTAGATCCATTCTAGCGCACCACCTTCTTGCCTTCCATCCTCGATGGACTATCCTCGTGGTTTGACTCTGCCACACCACGAAGATCTCACGAGGGAGATTTTCTCACTACACACTCAGTGCAGTGCTAAGTCTTAGTCCTAACCCAACCCAGGCTTAGCCAGCCAAACATTAGACAAGAGAATTTGAAGCACAAGCTCACACATAAGGGTCACATAAGCAATAGTCAAGGGTCGTAGCCCACTGGTATTCCACTATACAATTGCCAATGTATACAGCCACGCACTTCCTCACCAGGGGCTTGGCAAGGGGTTACTATAGCTCTAAGTTACACATTCGAATTTCAAATACACATTATACACGTGTTGGTCATGCTTCCACCATGACTTGTATGGAGGCCACCTGGCCACCACACATTCTACATCAGTTACCTGGCCACCCTCATCACTGCGTCAATTTCACACAATCCACCCTTTATCCCTCAATCTCGTGCAGCATGGTGCATGGCATGTGGTGCAGGCTGAATGATGTGGTTGGTAAGTGCAGTGTAGGCCGACTAGTGCAGCCTGATACGTGTGGTGCAAGCCCAATGGTGCGTATGGTGCATTGGTGGTCAAAGTGGGTCAAGGAACTCCTTGGTGCATCACCCAATGCATATGCTACTTTGGCAGGATTAGTTGTCACTCACAAAGATCTAGTTCTTTATGTCAAACTAGTGTATATGTAAATATTGATTCATGAATGGGCAATTTGTCCTTGTCTAGACCATGTATTCTCTGATGTTCAAAGTTCCGATGTAGGCCTGCTAAGAACTCTTAAGATCCTTCATTGCCTGGTTTGTTTTGTAATGGCATCAATGGCGTGATATTAATAGGCTGATAGTGTTTTATACCTTATCATCTCCCCTTGCTGCCAATTTTCTATTTTGTGAAGCACCTGGTAAATTCTAGCTAGATCATCTAATTGCAAGTATGTCTTAATTACTGCCTCCCATACATCTTTTGTAGTTCTAAGGAACAACAATCCCTTGACTTGGAATGAAGAAGCCATGCCATTACAGTCAGATTCTCACTTTTCCTTTTTTTAGGGGATGGATCATCTAGGCTCTTTCCATCTTCCCTATGATGTGTAACCCAATTTTTTCTGGCGTCCTATGAACATTTGACAAATTAGGACCATTCTAAATAGTTTGTCATATCTAACCTTGAAAAATAAGCTATGTCATATGAAGATAAAGTACCTCTTACGGCCCTTAGTTGCCACATTCATAACCAGCTTGAGCTTTCATAAAGGATTTCTTAACCAGCTTTCCTTGAACACATGATTCACATACTCTGGTTAAGTCTCCATTGGGATTATTAATTAATCCCTCTCTTGTTACCTCTCCATCCATTTAGGATTTATGTGCCCTAGTCTCATGTGCCATATATATGCATCATCATTGTTATCATTGTAACACGAGACATAAGAAATGGAATTATTTATTGCAACTGAAAGGAAACCATCTACAGGATGACCATTCATGACTATTTCGTTTCCATATTTCACCTCCACCTTATGACCAGTAAAAATGGTGGAGTAGCTTGCCTTAGCCAATTTAGCGACCAAAACCAAACTCTTCCTCATCTCAGGAGCATAAAGAGTTTTCTTAAGACCATGCTTTTTCCGTTCTCAAGTTGAAGGACAAAATCTCCAATACCTAGAATTTCAGTCCTTTGATTCCCACCCATATAGATATACTGATCCTCGGGGGCAACATGCTTGAAATTTCTATATCCATCCTTGGTGTTTGACACATGGGCAGTGTACCCAGAGTCAAAGCACCATGACCCCACTTTTGGGTCAACTAGTATAGTCTCAAGGACCACATAAGCATGCTCCCTATTGCCTTTGGGATTGGTATTCTTGGGTGCTTTGCAATACTGAGCTATGTGCCTAAATTTCTTACAATTATAGCACTGGGTATTCTTAAATCTTTCTTCTTAGGCCTATTATTTCCTTTTTTGTTCTCATTTGTTTTGTTCTTACTCTTTCCTTTGCCCTTCTTCTTCTTGAATGAACTAGAGTCGGATTTAAGGTTTACCAAATTTACAAAGTCATTGAAGTATGGCGAGACAATCTCCTTTCGTCTTCGACTTTATGTTTGGCGTTGATCTTGTCTAACTTCGGTATGCTTTCCCTTGCTGTAAGGCCTGAAATGAAGTTTTCCCATGAGCTCAGCATAGAATTCAGCATCTGACAGATTTGCATATTTTCATGTGCAGCCTTGAGTTAATTTTCCTCCTTCCTTAATCTTGAAAAATGGATATTGTTTCATAGCCATGGTCTTTCTAGTGAAAGAATGTGAGGCATAATCGGTCTCAAGTCGTTCATAAATCTCCTTTGCAGTCTTCAGGTGCTCATACTCAAGAGCAAACGTGTCACCCATGGCCATAAGTAGCACATGCTTTGCTAGAGTGTTTTTACGCTCCCACTGAGTATAAGCATCTCTTACAGCCTGCCTTTTATAAGATTTCCTCTTGGTATAGGTGGGCGGTCATTAGTAAGCATTTGGCTAAGTCCTTCAAAGAGGACATAACTTATTTTTCTCTTCCAACTAGCATAGTTCTTCCCATCAAATCTTTTAGACTTAATAAATTCAACCAAGAAATCTTTTGATGTCATTTTTCTTGACTCAAATAAAAATAAAATACGACAGTAAAAAAGAGGCTTTGATACTAATGAGAGGTGTGGCTATGTGGAACTCAAGGTATTAAATTAAAAAAAAAATCTTTTACTTTAATTCAAAATACCTGAATTCCACTTACAAAGGTTACTAAATATTGTTGTAAATCAAAATAGTGTCCGATACAACCTCGGATCTCTATTTTCACTGCCAAAAGAAATAGAAACTATCCAGGAGCTTTAAAATAACTTTCATCACAATTTTTAAAACAAAATAAGTTCCTAGAAATTCACAGAAAATAGGAAATAATACTGAAAATTAATTAAAACTATAGAAGTTACCCTACCAGGACTTAGTACACCTCACACCCGATTCCCTGACCAATGGCGCGCTTTTACTCCTTAGGGTGTTGCGGCTAAGATGGGGAAGCTTTATGGGCAATACGTTGTTTTTTTTTTTTAGGGTTTTGGAGAGCTTAAAAATCAACTAGGGTTTATAGTAACCCTATGTAAACAAAATAGGGCTGATCTTGCGAGTTAATCTCTCCTTAAGGTGTGCTTCTCTCTTCTTTCTTCAAAATACGGCAAACATCTCTTAGGGTTTGAAAGTCCCACCCTTTTTCTCTTTTCTTTTCGTTCTTTAATAGAAGCTACTTAAAAGGAGAGAGAAAGAGAGGGTAGCGTGATTCTCTCTAAGACAAAAGATGGTCACATGGTTTTCAAGAGAGAGCAAAATAGGGCATGATCGAGAGAAAGAAAAATTGGAATGAGAGAGAAGATCTTAGGGCATTGAGAGAGAGAGAAATCTTTTTTTTCTAATGAGAGAGGGGGTTGGAATCTTGTTTAAATAGAAACAAAATCTATTTCCTATTTTGAATAGGACTCCAATCTAAGTATGCCTTAATCCAATTTCTAGCTTGACCTTTAGGATAAATATAAAATCTATGGGGTGAGAGAGATTTAATCAAAGTCATCCATCCCAAAAACAACCATCATGATTTTGGGTGAAAAGATATGAAACTTATCCTCTTAAACTTTGACCCAAGTCCAACTCTTATTTAAAATTGGAATAGGGATAGGAAACCAAATCTAATTTGAAATAGATTTCCTATGTTCACTCTAACTAATTTAAAATATTTAAAGAAGTACAACAAAGTGGAGCGTGCCCCCCACTTCCTAAAACCATGGTGTACTCCTTTGCTCTCTAAAAGGTGGCGTGCCAAACAAATAAACAAAACCTGTAAAGAAAGTGGGGCATGCACCCTTTCTCCCTAAAAAGGTGGTGTGCCCCCTTTTTCCTTAGAAGATGGCGTGCCCTCTTGTTTTCCCTTTAAAAAAGTGAATTCTTTTTTGTTAAAAAAAAAAAAAGTGGCCCCTATGGGGGCACGTGGGCCCCTTTCGTAGAAGAAAGATACACACATGTGGGGCTGGATCCTTGGTCCCACATGTGTTATTTCAAGTTCTGAAAATTTCAAAAATGCCCTTTTAATAAATATAACGGCAGATTTTAAAATTCTGAAAAATATTTAAAATCATAGAAACATTTATAATACCAATTTTTTTACTAGAAGTGGATTGGTACCGATAGGTCAAAAATAGCGACAATAAAGGCACTCCACTCACCCAAGAAACCATGATATAGTATCGATTTCTTATCCAACCCAAGATGATCCATGACCCATAGTCTCATTTCAAGGGCTCATGATTGGTTTGTCAAGGTTGAACAACAAACAGTGGGATCATGATCCTGGAATGTGGATTTTCGTTCCCCTTTTAAGAGCAAGTCTAACACTTGTCACCACAGTGCAAAAGGGTGTTCTCTATGCACATGTACACGTGTCCTTCTATAATGCTGCTTCCTAATAATGCGGCTGCCATGTGTACATTCTGTGCGGAAGTTTGTTAAGGCTTTAGCCTTTGCTCTCAGGGGCCTACAACCGCACACAAGAGACTAAACAGCTCTCCTAGCCTACAAACATCATCCCTGGGTCTCTTCGACCTCAACAAGGGATGACCTACTGCAAACCCTTTTCGATATGCCCAGGGGTTAAGGGTTTTGGACATAACTAGGGCTATTGACTGCCCAACCCTTGGTCAATCAACACACACACTCTTACTGAAGTGCATAGTCCACTATAAAGTATCATATTGACAAGCTCTCTAGGCCTTTAAAGGCCACAAAACCCAACAAACCTAATTGTTGTGAATATCGATCCTGGGTGGTTAGGTTAACTGCTTCTTAAGGAAAGGGAAATATTGTACTTGATTTCTGTCATTTTTCCTCTCTCTCGAACTTGAAACCTGAAGTCTTTTCCTAAGGCACTACTTCCCTAGTTTTCAAAGCCTTAGAAAAGGCCCCCATTCTGGTTTGTTAGGCAAAAAGGATATGGAATATATTTGATGTGATTTTGGCTTGGGATAAAAAAAAAAGAAAAAATTGACAAAATAAGGTCTAGGGTTTCCTTTTTTGTTGGAAAGAAAGAGAATTGTGGAAGATCTTACTTATTGATAGGATGGAACTCACTTGTTGGTACAATAGCGACATGATCTTCCTAAATATGTGGGTTGTTGAAGCACCACATCTTCAAGTCCAAGAATAAAGGAAATATTGATTCTGGGGTTGCTTAAAAACAATGGACATCCTAGGGTTTCAAGCCTTTCTTTTCTAACATGAAAGTTTGAGGAAGAAGAGAGGAAAAGGACACTTAAGCACAACAATTGGGCAAAAATATGGATGTATATATCATTGTTTAAAATATGGGACAATGTGCCCTATATGTTGACACGTACCTACGTGGGGTTTGAAATACATGTCTTGATGTCAACATGCACATAGGTTACGACTATTAGGGAGTCCAAATATAGTAGGATACTATTCAAAGAACCTCGGTCAATTTTGGTACTGATTGGGTTTCCAAAAATGTGAGGATTTTCCTTAGTCAAGTTTGGTGCTGTTTGAGTTTCCAAGAATGTAGGGATTCGTGGTCAATATACCTTATTATCACATGCTCCGTCATTGGTGGTTTCCTCTATTGCAGCGTGAGCCATGAGGTTTCCTTAATAACAACATGAGGTCATAACATTCACTACAATTCCACTATTATTTTACATTATTTCTTACGTTATTTCAACATTCTTACCTAGGAGTTTCAAAAACTTAATTTTCAGAAATTTAGGTTATAGTAAAACATGCTTAACATTTCAGTCCACGGAAATCTGAATTTCCTTTGTCATATGGGATCCTTGAAACCATCATCATCATTTTAGCCTATTCCCAATTAATTAGGGTCAGATACATGAATCCTAGTTCTCCATTATGCTCTATTAAAGGTCATATCCTCAGTGAAGCCATAAGTCCCCATATCTTTTCGGACTACTTCCAACTACGCCTTTTTGGGCCTACCCCTTGCCCTTTTCAGTCCTTTCACTTGAACTAACTCGTACCTCCTAACAGGTGTTATACTTGGTCGGCGCCACACATGACCAGCCCACCTAAGTCTACTCTATCTCACTTTATTGCCTATTGGTGCCACACCTAAATTTTCTTGAATATATTCATTTCGAATTCTATCCCTTCTTGTCTCGCCACTCATCCATCTCAACATTCTCATCTCTGCTACACTCATTCTATGGGTATATTGTTTTTTGCCTGCCCAACACGCCGCCCCATAGAGCAAACCTGGTATCACCGTTGTCCTATAGAACTTGCCCTTTAGCCTCATTGGTATGCGACGATCACATAAAATTTCAGTTTGCACATCTCCATTTCGCCCACCCAATTCTAATTCTGTGTGCGACATCTTTCTCGATCTGTCTATTTTCTTAGATTATCGACCCAAGACATCAAAAGTGTGGTCTTTTTTGTACTTCCTGACCGTCAATCTTGACTACTTCCTTGTCTCTACTCATATGATTACTAAACATGCACTTCCTATATTCTGTCTTAGTTCGACTAATTTTAAAACCTTTGGATTCTAGAGCATCCCTCCAAAGTTCTAACTTTGTGTTGATGCCGTTTCAGGTCTCATCATCAAAATTGTCATCTGCGAACAACATGCACCACAGTACCTTGTCCTCTAGGTGCCTAGTTAAGTCGTCCATAACTATGACAAAGAGGTACGGGCTCAATGCTGACCTTGATGTAGACCTATTGTCACTGAAAACTTACTCGTCTCTCCACTAGTTGTTCGTACACTAGTTAGCGCCCCATCATACATCTCTCACCAAGTCGACGTAATGTCTAGAGACACCTTTCTTTTCCAACACCTGCCGAATCGATTCTCGAGGTACTCTATCATAAGCTTTCTCTAGATTAATGAAGACCATGTGGAGGTCTTTTGCCTTCGCCCTAAAGTTCTCAATCATAATCTCAGTTGTTAACCTTTCTGGCATAGGATCCTTGAAATGTATTTATAAATTTGTCTTTCAGGTTCGTTTTTATGCTGTCTTATTTTTTATATATATTGTTTTTTGGGTAATATGTTACAGAATTATATTCGAGATGCACCATTTGATCCTCTCCGTTGGGTGGCACCTGGGCAGTGCATAGCTCTTCCTGTTCCTTGTAAATGTGGTTTGGATACTCGTGATGTTCCATTGGATAGCCAATACGTAACCCAATCAACGGCTACAAAAGTTGGATGTGCATGTGATAGGGGTCACAGGTGGATGTGTTCAAAAACAATTGCTGATTGCCTGGAGGCTTTAATAGGGGCTTACTTTTTAGGCGGCAGTTTGAAAGCTGCTATTTCTTTTATGAATTTGATGGGTATAGATTGTGAATATGATGCCACCTTAGTTGAAGAGGCAGCTAACAGTGCATCTCTGCGGTGCTATATTCCAAAAAGTGAAGATCTTGAACTACTTGAGACAAAAATTGGCTACACTTTTTTGGTCAAGGCCCTTTTAGTGGAGTCCATTACTCATGCTTCTCGGCAAGAATTTGGAGCAGGCTTTTGCTACCAGGTGCTATCTTAACTGAACTCAAGTTTCTTCAGTTGTATGTCTTCATTTGACTTCTCACATGATCTTCTGAGTTTTATGTAATACATGGTAAGTGTACATAAAAATTGTTCATCTTTTCTGACTTTTGCTCATCATAATTTCACCAGAGGCTTGAATTTCTTGGGGACTCTTTGTTGGACCTTCTTACCACACGGTATCTCTTTGAAAAACATAGAGATATTGATCCAGGGGTACTGACTGATTTGCGTTCAGCATCAGTGAATAATGAAAATTTTGCTCAAATTGCTGTAAAGCATGATCTTCAACCTCATCTGCTACATGCGTCTGGCCTCCTCTTGGGTCAGATTACTGAATATGTTCAGCGTGTCAAGGATTATCATGATAGTAAATGCCAAGATCTCTCTCTTACACGGTCTAAATGTCCAAAGGTAAATTTATGGTTCAACCTAACCTTTTCTCTCTTACTCTTTTGCATTTGGGTGTGGCTGCTATATCTATCCTAATGCTCTGTTGTATTTTGAACTTCAAGATGCATGGGTTGGTCCTTTCTGGTTCTCCCACCAATTGGTACCTCAAGGTTCTTTTGGGCCATAATCTGCTGGTTTCCTTAATATCCTTCCCCTGAATGCAGGTTCTTGGGGACCTATTAGAGAGTATTGCAGGGGCAATATTGATTGATTCAGGATTCAATCTAGAAACTGTCTGGAGATTACTTGAACCAATACTGTCTCCTTTTGTAACACCATGTAATCTTCCTTTGCCTCCCGTGCGTGAATTGTATGAATTATGCGATTCAAAAGGTTTTACTCGAAGAGTTGAATATGCGGAGAAGGATCTCTCCATTGTTGCTACTGTTGGGATACAACTTAGGGATGCTCGCTTGGTCAGAACAGGAGTTGAGAGAAAAAAGAAGCTTGCAATGGAACAAGCAGCCCGTCAATTGTTGGCTGACTTGGAGGTAACCCAATCTATCACACATGGTTGCATTTGTTTTGTATCATATTTGCCTCAATAAGAGGCAGGCTTGCTTAAATTGTCAACTTCTTATGTTATCTGAAGACATATTAGAACTGCCGTAGCATAGATCTTGATTTTAATTAGAAGTTTTCATCGTTTGGTTCTCTAATTGGTGTTGTTGGGTTGTGCTTGCTTGTCTTTGGTTGATGATGTGGTTATTTTGTAATATTTCAGGAAAGAGGCCATGTGCACTCTCGCTTTGTATCACGGAGGAGTAGACATGTAAATGAAGTCGTTAATAATTCCACTAATCCAAACCCCAGCACTTCTATAACCATGCCAACAGATAGTAATTCCACTGAGAATTCATTCAAAAAGCGAAGGATCATGAATGAGTCATGTTCATTGGAAACATCTCCAGATCCGCCCTCTGTTGATTTGTGTGATCCCAATGTCACTATGCTAGGTAAGCAACTGCATAAAGGCCTCTTATTGTCACCTTTATGCTATGTGATTTGTCAGAATAATTAATGGTCTGGATGCATCTGGCATGATTTCTATTGACATCATACAAAGCAATTGAATGATGGGTTTTGTGATATATTTTTCTGTTGGTTTCATATGTTTGGATATTACTTGGATTGATGAAATATAGAACTGATTGAATTGTTTGAATCTTTGCTTTCCATCTTAGTGATTCAATTTCCCATGTATTTTTCCAATGTTGAACATGTTTCCTTTCAAATTGAATTTAATAATGGAGCAGCAGTAATAGCATAAGCCTTAATATTGTGTGGTCAATGTTCCTTGAGTGACTTTTTCTACATAACATATCAAGTCAATTCCCAGAATGTGCACCACATGAAGAGTTCTACCAGATTCAGTTTCTGTCAAAGCAATTTGATTGCCATTCAAGATTCTCAAGGACACTTCCATTTACCATTTGTGTACGCGCATGTGCATATGTGTCCCTGTACATGGGATTATGTATGCAGCGTATATTATACTTACATGTTTATGTCGTAGTAGATTAGAAACTTAATCCAGAATATTTATCACCTGGCCACCTTTTGATATTTGTTTTTCGTGAGGTACCTGGAGTTGATAACTACATCAACAATACAAACTGTATGTAAAAAGGCTTCAGTTGGAATTGTTTATCCGATAAACGCCATTTTCACCTTTTGCATTCTGTTAGGTGGCAGAATTCCTTTTGGGAAAGCCAGATAAAAAGGGTTCCTGACCTTTTTTTGAGCATAATGTAAAATGCCGCTTATTTGCTCCAATTATTATGTGTGGAAGCTATTTGGAGCTTCAAAATGCTCCCAAACATGGAGCATTAACCTCCTTAGACAGATAAAGTTGTTTAAGTCCCGTACACTGTTTCAAGGCATTTTCAAATGGAGCATAAAGCAAGGTTGGAAAGTTGTGCGCTATCATTCTTGTAGCTCTTAGCTTGAAGCTCCATGAGTGTGTCAACTTGCTTATGGCCATGGAGATGAGCATATCAATAAGGTCTTGAGCTCACTTTCACTGAAAAAGCCAATTATTGGTTAGAAGTCTTTTTGAGAATAATTGACTGTATCATATTGAATAAGAGGATTATAGTTTACATATTGGTGCTGTCTATGCAAAAATTGTGAGGTCTGTGACTCCTACTGTGACTTAGGAGTTATGACAGCACAGAGTACATGTGTTTTGTCATAAATAACATGAGGACAGGTGGGGTGGGGGTGGGGGGGGAGGCGAAGAAAGGGGAGCTCATGGACCTCCAGATGCTTAACGGTGAAGGAGCGTTGCTTATCACCCTGGAACTGACAAAGGTATATAGGAAGGCAGGGGAAGGTGGGGAAAGAAAGGGGAGCTCATGGACCTCCAGATGAGGTCTATAAACATCCAAATGAGGTACCATAGTGTCCTGTTTGGCAATGCATCCACATCTTCATTTGCCTCTCTGAACATGTTTGAAAGAAACATTCTACAAACTGTTGATTCCAAAGGTTTGGTCAAAAAGTGCTCGTAGTCGCCAGGGAATCAGAGTTGCTTTGGAGCCCAAGAGATTACATATTGAGCATCTCCATCCACTACTATAGAGGTTAAGCCTTCCAATGGGGCCTAGGTCCCAGGAGTGGTGGAGTTTGTGATCCCAATAGTTCCTGAAAAAGCGAGAAGTACCTGCGATAAACTGTTCTTGATCAATCCCCTGAACCCTGTGTGAATGTATAGAAACCAATTCTCTTGACTTGGACTACAATGTAGACAAAAAAGCAAGCCAATACACTTTTATATTTTCAATGCACTGGAAATTACAACTTGCGGAATCAAATTACCGCAAGGTCATTGTCACTACAGTGAGCTATTGATTTAAACATACACTCAAATGAGAAGATACAACTCAATTAGGATCCCTTGCACCTAAACAAAACAAGTTACAAAGGGAGATCATCAAAATACACTTGTATAGTGTGCATTTGAAAATTCGACACCACTCAAACTTACAAGGCAAAACTATACATCAATAAACTCATAAAACTTAACACAACATGATCTCCATTTCATCAACATATATATGCTCAAGAGTGCAATGCATCATGACCATGGGAAGCCAATTGGAGCTCTCAGGTGCCCAGTTTACGGCTTTGAGTATTAGCTATATGTCATTGGGTGAAATGCTATGGCATACCTCAAAATCGGGCTAATTCATTATCTAATAAGTGAGGAGCCAAGCATCTACTGATACACACTTAAGACATGAAAGGATTTGCAGAGATCTAAAGATCGAATCAAGTGGGAAAATCGTGGGAGAAACCCGGGCTCTTAAAATACAAAACCAGTTCAATTGAATTCACAATTCGGTTCACAAAATTTCAGCATAGTCTCCTCTTATAAAACCAACAATTCAAGGGATCAAAAAGAAAATCTAAGTGACTGATATGCTTATGAAAATCTCAGAGAAATATCAACCAAAATTAAAGGAAGAAAGCTGATGGAATCTATATTAAAATATGCATAGAAGATGCCTTCAAGTATATGGATCAAGAGAGATCAAAGATTATTCAAAGGATCATTCCTTTATTAAAATACCCATGCTCTTTACATTCAATAAAACTGAAACCAAGATGGAGGGTATACCTTTATGGTAATTTGGCAAATATTCCAGCAAAAAGCAAATCTCAAAAGTTCCCTCCATTTTATAAGAGCATGTGGGGCTAATGAAATTATGCCACATAAGCTAGGTAGTTAATTGCACATTTACCATATACCCTTAAGGTTAGGCTTGTAATTACAAACCCTATTCCCCTCCTAGAAACTACTACACATGTACACAAACCCGTTGCCTTAAGCATTAAACATGTGCTACAAAGATTTTTTTCAAAATCTCAATACAAAATTACATAAAACAATGCCCATAACATAAAACAACAATCTGCATAATGATATGGGGTTTCCTTGAGGGGGTTGACGTCACCCCCACATCATCCTCCCCGAGAGGTAATGTGGGACCCCCAAACCACCACATGGACACCCATTGGCCCTTTGGATGTCCTGTGTGGGTCCCGGGGAACTGTCTTTGTTTGTTAGTTATCCCAAACAATTTTGAAAACAGGATTTTCTTTCCTAGAAAAATTTGAAAAAAAAGCTCAAAAATCCATACAACATATTTTAATGATTTTTCATCAAAATAAATCATTTTGGCGTTGTTTAAAACTTTTACAAGGGAAATTAGGATTCTTGAAGTTGAATTACAAATCAGAGCACTTCACTCAGCTAGATCTAGAATCCAAAGCCGTCTTCTCAGTATGACCCAATTGATTCATAACCCACAGTGTATAATCAAGGGCTCATGATCTTAGGCTACCAAAGTCAAAACCAATGTGTGACATTAAATCCTCAAGTATAAGTGGATTTCAGGTGCACCTCCTAAGCAACATGCACACATGGTGTAGGGGTTCCTCTCTTCGCACTTGCAGATCCGTGGAAGAGAGGCTTCCCATACATTGCGACTGTATATGCATATGCTACGAGAAGGTTCTAGAGTCGGGGATTCAGGCCAATGTCCTCTATTTGCCCTAGCCTTCCCGTACATGGCTATTTTGTCATCAAGTTCATATAAACACATAAGTCACATCGCCATGGCACAAACATAACAACTAACCTTGACTAGGAGGTAACCCTCTCGGTACCTCCCATGCATATAAATCTTCCTCATGGTTTAATCGGGATTCCATGGCTCTTGGTCCCAGTGTGCCAAGATCCTAGAGTCATGCTGCTTTTTTACTCCCATTGAAGTCGAGAGCCATTGAAAATGTCAAAATTTAAGGCCTTGAAAGGACATAACTTTAACACCCTGTAAGTCCAGGACGGTCAAGGGATTAACCAACAAAGTTCAATCTGATGACATCCATCTCCGGTGGGACTAGGAACTTGATCCTTGGTCGTGCATAGTCTTTGAAGGCAGTATTATCTTCCAATTGGTCATGCAAGTCCTCCACTGATAAGAACTAGAATTCGTTTTTGTTCCTCATCGAGATCACTTTCTCTATAATTTGATCAACCACTTTCTCAACTCGAGACGCAGGGAATGGAGTGGACAAGAGGGCGCCACAGTTTGGTGTACCACAACCCTTGAACCACCAAACCCATCCAATGGCCTAAATAGAGGACAAAGTTTTGCCCAATGCAGAACATTCTATGAAGGGATGAGCTATAGTTTCTTCATCCTTGCACATGGCAATTGGATTTACTCTATGTGCAGCTGATCACATATGAGGACCTTGTTTTAAACCTTTATCACCCAATTGATAGCTTGTATATTTGGTGGTAGGGAGCAGAGCCATGCTTTGTGGGTGACAAAAGGGGCGAGGGACTGGTAAAAGGAGGCCAACCTTGAAGCCACTACTTGGGGCAGGGGTTGGTTCATGCCATCCTGACTCAACTAGAGTTTGGGATATGTTTTGGCTTTTGGAGTATCCAATAGAGGGTCCAGGTCGGATATCTCATTATCCTTTAGGTCCTTCCAAAACCTGGGAGACCAGATCAGCTGCTCTCCAATGATTTTATAAGATTGGGACGCCATCGCCCTTGGCCCATTGTATGTGGTCTTCGGTGGAGTGACTCCCAAAGTGGAGCCCCCTGACCACAAATCCTTCCACTACCTCACCTTCCCCTATTCTCACCCTGGATTTTATATCTGATGCAACAACCAAGTATCCGGAGACTATACCTTTCCAAGGCCCATAGGTATCAATTGAGTCCCAGGGCAATAACCGTTTCATCTAGTCCTTTACCTGTTCTTAACTACTTGCTGCCACAAGTGCCCCTGGTAATTCACAAATCAACGCAAGCACTTGCTGATTATGTTTGCCACCCACACCAGATCATAAAAAGTCTCTAATCATGCACTCTGAGCATTTTGCAAAGGCTGCTATTGGCATTCTAAAGAAACATATGGAGAGCGGCATGTTCACTAGGTTAGCCCTGGTTCAAATAAGTTAGTGCTCAGAAAGCATGTTATAGGCCCAAGATCCTTAAACCTAAACTTCACATATAAATTTTAATACGTCTTCAAATGTCCCATAAATTTTTAGTAGTATGGAAATGCTCAATACTACGATATTACGTCCATCTGAAGGTTATCAACTTATACATGTATAGGGCTTCTACCCATCTCTGAGTGCCCTATGAAAATAGAGTGGTGCGACATCTAATGATTAGTCACCTTAAACCAAACTCACCACTATTTTAGAGATCTTATGCAAGTTACTTGCAAGTTGAGACCATGTAAAATTTATTGTGTTTATCAACTAAGTAGGATTTCAGAAATAGCTGAAGTAAGGAGCTATCTACCCTAGACATGTGCTTAAAACCATGTTCTAGAAAACAAATCCTCATCATATGTAACTGAATATTGTGAACAGCGAATGAAGAAACCCCTGATGAGTCTCTTACATGTCTCGGTAGTTGAATGCATGTTCATCGATTAAAAACTCAACGACATTCTTCATTCCATTACTAGATGCGGATGCATATTCATCATATACTCAAATCCTATTTGCATTTAAAACCTAACCTGAATCGCGTAAGATACTGTTTGGAACTGGGATGAAAAGATATATTTTGTGATTTCAAAGGGTGATTATCTGCTCTCTTCCGTTTTTCAGTGACACATGCATCTCTTTCTCTCACTCTCTCTCTCTCTCTCCTAACAAAAAATAGTCAACCCTGCAGTGAAGGTGTCTGTGGATATGCGCAAGGGTGGCCCACGGACAAGTTTACACCTGCTTTGCAAGAAGTTAAATTATAAAATGCCTGAATATCAGTCAATTGCGGAGGGCTCAAGGTTGATTGACCTCATCTTGGAAGCCATATCTATGAGAGAGATTTGATTGTACACAAATTTTACTTATATGTTTCACCTTCNTGTTACCTGCAGGTTTGTCACAAAAATGATATTATATTTGCCCAATTCTGATGCCATTGAAATTAAGGGGGAGCAACGAACTGATAAGAAAAGTTCTCAAGATTCTGCTGCGCTTCTCATGCTTCATGAGCTTGGGAGACTCCAGAGATGCATCCTTGAAGAATGCTGAAGAGGCGTGATGTCTTTATGGTTCCATTTGTATAATCTCATGCATGTATTTAAGCAACTGGGTGTGATTCATTGTTACCCACTCTTTAGCAGTGTAGGTAAACAGGTGAATTTACACTTGATTGGAAATTTTCAACTGTTTCCAAAATGTGCTTGTGGACCGTTCTGTAAAGGTGTTACAGATTTATTTATCCATTTCATGCTCTCTCTCTGCATGCCCGCAAGCCGCTCAGGCCCTTGTTGACTTGAATTACTGAGTCCTAGCATGGAAACGTGGTCTACCTCATGAGCAATGGAGCTGGGAGATGGCTGGAATAGATCCTAGTATTCATGCTTTGCAAAGTGATTTTGTTGCAGTTATACATTGGTTCTAATGTGACAGACGGCATGACAACAACGATTCATCCAACATTAGGATTTGGTGACAATCAACATTTTACTAATACCGACAGAAAAGTCATTGAGCAACTTTGAAGAGTTCTTCCTACTTGTGTAGGAAAAGTGAACCGGAACGGATAACTGGACATGGGTTCGGAAGTATGGGTCCGGAAGCAGTTCAACTGGTCTAATTGGTAAACCAGCCTGTTCAACCGGCCTAACCTGGCAAGTCCCAAGCAATAAAAAAAAATGATTAAAAAAAAATACAAAAAAATATAATGAAAAATGGAAAACATATTTAAAGCATGATTGAACGAAGCACATCCAAATGAAGTTGAAAATTGATGAAAAAACAGATTTTACAGGTTCGATTTATATCCAAAGGTAGTTTTGAAACTTTCCAAAAAGATGGGAAAATATAAACATAAGTATTAATGGTCCAAACGATTTCCAATCTTTGCAAAAATGGTGATAAATTAAAAAAAATACATTACAAACAAAATTCCTTATTTTTTGGGATTTATATAATTGTCTTTTTAAATTTTTTAAACGTACCTGACCGATTCACCAAAACATGCTGAAACCGAAACTGGCTAGTGGTCATTTCCGATCTGAGCCGGTCTAATCGGGCTGTTAGAATTTGAATCGCCCCAAAGGGAAAAGTCATCATGCAATTTCTAGGAGATCTTTTACTCAATTAGATCAAGCAAATATCAACCATGTCCACAAGGTTGGGTAAGCTAGTGTTTTAAAGCTCGGTGATTTCTAATTTGGATCATCGATCCATATAGGAATCAATTGGGACCAAACCAATTTCAAGATGGTATTGGGCCAAGTTCAATTCCCCTGTAAAAGAACCCCGTCATATGAACTCCACGCCTTAACTCCATATTTAATTTTTTACTTTATTTTATTGATTTTTTATAATTTTCCTGGTCACTGATTCATACCGATCTAGACCCACACTGGATGGTCGATCTAGCGATCTGACCCAAATCTATGAGTGAATGATCCATCCTATCAATCCGAGTTTTAAAGCACTAGGGTAAACTAAACTGTGTTGCCCAAGGCTAATCCCTAGCCTATGGATATCTGGATATTTACCAAAAAAAAAAGAAGTTTATATAAGTTGCATGCAACCTTAAAATGTATAATTACAAATGCACTTCAAAATTCCATCAAAAAATGTTGTTTTAATGTTGAAAATCCCTCTAATTGATCATCTCGATATTGAGATGTATGAATATGCAAAAAAAAAAAAAGATTTTAAGTCCCAAAAATAGTGCATCTTGCAACACATTACATAGGCAGTTAATTTTCAAGATTTTCATATATTTATAGATATACTTAATTTTAGCCATTTTTGAAGTTTAATATTTTATATTTAGGTATAAAAATAGATTTGAGATAACTGTAAGAATCTGTTAGTCCAAAATTACATGGCATGGTTAATTTTGGAGGTGCGCCTTAATTGGTTTGTTTAAGGTGCACCGTTTACAAAATGAATCTATCCTCACATAATTCCAGGTTTCTTGTGACCCTAGTTCGGCTAATGAAGCAGAGTTTGTGTAGGGGAATCAAATTAATACTGGAATAATATGATGGAGAGTGATTTGGCATATGTTATTTCATCGACACCGGCTCTGTGGAGGATCGATCTAGATAACTATTTCCCAACCATTTCACAATTGCCAAAAAGATGTTCTACTAATGCACGAGTAGAATGTCCATTTACTCCCTCCCCTAACACCCCATTTAGAATTAATTTTAAGACCCCAATTTTTGCGCAATCTCTTTGACTCATAGATTAAAATCAATAAGAAAAATTTCCTAATCATACTATTTATGCACTTGAAAAAAAAAAAAAGACTCGAGATTGAATCGATACCATCTAATTTTTAGATGGTGATATCTTAGAAAACTTGAAATAAAATAAAATAGAATAACCATCAAATCCTTAAGTGAGTAGTAAGAGAAAAGGGAGCATACTGTACATGCTTCTCACAATTTTTGAGGGAGAGGTCATTTGCAAAAATGTTGGTCACCTCAAGAAGGCCTAAGGATGAAGACTAAAAAAATAGAAATTCCATTAAGGATGCGGTTTGCATTCGGATGCATCCGTAGGTGTAGAAGTAAGGTGTACTTTCAAATTTTATTTTATAGTAATTTATAATTTCGATGTAAAATGTTTTTAAGATTATTTTAAAATTTATTTTTAAATTTAATTATAAAATTTTAAATTTAAAAAATAATTAAAATAAAGTAGACTTATAAATATATGAAAATCTTAAAAATTGACAGTATAGATAATATATTGTAAAATATACTATTTCTAAAACTTAAATTTTTTTTATTTTTCAAATTTCGGTGTCGATGATTAATCTAAAGATTTTTTAACATTAAAACGACCTTTTCGGACGGATTTTTTAAGGGCATCCGTAATTTGCATCCTTATATAAACTTTTTCATTCCATTAAATTCGACTCCCTTCTTCATGAGGTTTGGGAGGTATGAATGAGTGTGTCATGGTCATTTATAAAAAGTTTGGGTAAGCTAATTCACTCTAAGAGACCTTTAAAGGGAGCATTGCCTCCCATTTATCCACTCCCTTTGTGGTGGTGAAGAGAGAGAAGAATGGGTTCTTCCTGCGTAATGCTGCCATCTTCTCTCTCTAGGATTTGCCCTAGTTTTGGTCTCAAGAAGCAAGTGGAATTGAGGAAGGTGAGCATTGTTGAGTGCTCTTCTCGGCCACAAAAGAAGGCGACTTCTCACCACATGAAGACCAGACCGAGAAAGAGGCAGGCATGGGATATAAAGAGAGGCCCCACTGTGTATCCCCCTCTCCCTCCTCTCCCTCCTGATTGGTCTCTCGACCCTTCTACCCCTGTTCAATTAGAGCAACAACAAACGCCCAAAATGTGAGTATTTTTCCTATGTTTCTCTCTCTACTTGCTTTTGGTGTGATGAGTTTTCTCTCTCATCTACTTATAGTGAGATGGGTTTTTTTGGTTGTGAAAGTTGTAATAACCTTATATGTTTTTATGGGGTGAATTAATTTATTGGGTTTTCTCTCTCTTAATCTCTTATTATGGTATTGGTATTGTTTGTGGGGTGAATTAATCCATTGGATTTTCATTCTATTAATCTCTTAATGTAGTATTGTTTGTTGTGTGCAGGGATGAATGAGGTCTAGGTTCTCTTTGTTTTGTCAATTCTGGTTTTCTGAGTTCAGTCACTTTCCCTTCAATTGGGTCTGTTTGGACAATGTAATTTGTTTAATGCTTAGTGGAAAATCTGATTTATGCATTCCATGGCTCCTCTCTCTCATGAAAACTTTCCTTGTCTGAATACTGAAAACTTTGAATGGATGAGAATTCTATTTGAAGATTAATGAAGTGATGATAAAGTAGATTAATGACGTTATTATAAAGTGAAAGAATTCGAGAGAGATGATTTCCATTTCATGGATAAGCCAGTATTGTTAAATACTTGGACGCCTTGGAGAAGTTTGAGGAAATGTCCATGCGAAGTGATTACAATGTTTTTTTATCAATATTTTATGCTCCTGTCGTCTATAGTCTGTCTGGTAAAAACCACATCTGCAAGTATTTTTAGGACCTTAGATTTCACTGATGGAACTTCATCAACCTAGCAATCAGCTTCTAAAAAAAATTGAGAAAAAAAAAATGGGAAAAAAGGGTTTTCCCATGCACATTTTATATATGCCTGAAAAAATAACATCTTAAATTTCAATGAATATTATCCAATTTTTGGATTAGATCTAATTGGTTAAAACAATGCTGGGCATCACATATGGAGTTTCATTCCTACCAAGGTTCCAAGTTAACCTTTAAAAAAAAGAAAAAAAGTTTGTAGATAACCAAACTCCAAAAATTATAATTTTAGAAAGGGTGTAGTTTGCAACAGGTTGCAACTTTAAACAATCAGATTAAGGTGCACCACCAAACTTGGTCATGTGGTGTAATTTTAGTATCAAAAATTCCTAGGATGGTGCGGGATCTATTTTTTATCTCTAATTATAAAATTGTAAACTTAAAAAACGGTTCAAATCAAGCATATCTATAACCACATATTATCACCAAATAAAATTAAATCTATAAACACATGTAACTCTTGAAAATGAATGGTTTAGATAATATGTTGCAAGATGTACTATTTTTAGGATTTGAAATTTCTTTTTTTCTTCATATCTATACATCTTGGCAAATGTAGAGATGATCAGTTAGATACTTTTCCAATTCAAAGGAACCCTTTTCAAAGACTTTAGGTGCGCACCTTAATTCTAGTTTTTAAGGGTGTCAACCGTATGTAAACTAATACTCATGTGGCTATTCTAAAGTGGTTCTCAAAATTTTAAATAAATAAAAAATACCCGAATTTTCCTTTTAAAAATACTCATGTGGCTATTCTAAAGTGGATCTCAAAATTTTAAATCAATAAAATATACCTGAATACCCGAGGTGCTTATCTTTTTTACGCGATTATAAGCTACTTTTAAGTTCCTCTTTAACCATTTTCTTCTACATAAGGGAATTCTGCTAAAGTGTCTGCTCTAACAACCATTTCACTGTTTTGCAGTACAGGAGCATTTCTATGGAACTCTTCTATAACTCAAACTTGGGTGTAATGAACATGGCTTCAATAAGCTTGTAATCATGTAAAAAACAACTTCAGTATTTGAGCTGTAAACATGCTCTACAATGTCAAACATTATCATTTTCAATAGAAAATCAAGATGCATATGCTTCTAATGCACCTAAATAAACAAACAAAGTAGGTCACTTTGCTTTTTCTGGACAAACTTTAAGCGGAAGAAACCATAACCCAAAGGGCATTGATTAATCATGCCCCGCCCAACACAGCCTGTAATGGCTGGGGTCATGTGCCAACAAAAAAACTGAGTTTTTTTTGGGTATTTGCATTGAATTCAACACTTATGGAAGTTCTTTGGCTAATTCTAATGAATTCAACTTTATTGGTGCAAAGTATAGGATGTTAGGGTTCTTAGGCTAATTCTAGTGAACTCTTAGCATTTTTGGACAATGCATAAGATATTTGCATGTTTGTCTACACCTTCCTTACCGGTCGCCGAATATTGTCTTTTCTCCACTCAAAGCCCGTCAAATACATCGTAGCACCTCAGCTTTGAGCTGGTGGATGAACCCTACAGCTGCATCTGATAGTTTGGGGAGTTGTTATAAATTTTTTATTTTTTTTCCTTTTAACATTAACAAAAACTCTCGGTAATTGTGAAAGTTGTACAATTGAGGAGAATGTACTGGTTTCATAAAATGGATAATCGTGACGGTTTTACATCACCAGTGAATGTAATGTCTCCTCCCTTTGTCCGTTGTGTTTTTTATATGCATAGTTCCCTTTCTTCTATTATTTTTTGCTTATCCCTGGTTGGTCTCTGCTTTTCTTCTTTTCTAGGACTTGCATATTTATTTTAGATTTTGGTGAGTTGCTTTAAAAGCCATAGCTCACGCCTGGAGGATATCTCTTTTTTTTCATGCTCTCTCTCTGGCTGGTTCTTTTTTTCTAAAATCATGGCTTCTGAAGGATTGGCCAAACATCTTCCTCCAAGTGTAAGTTTCCCCTTTCATCCAAGTGTGTGAAAATGCAGTGTCGTAGTAGCCATCTTGCATCATGCTCCGATGAGGAAAGATCAGAGAACTAGAATTTAGCTTTGTTCCCACTTTCAGGTGAAAGGCCGTAGAAGCCTACCTTGTACTAGGCATCAAGATAATAAGAGATTAGAGTTCGAGTCTATATGTTCATCTCAAGAAAATTATTTAGAGAGTATTTTAAAGAGATTTAGGATGGAGAATTGTAAGCTTATTATAGATAAACCCATTTCAAAAGACTTGAAATTTTCAAAGAAAATGTGCCTATCAAGTGATAGTGAGAAGCTAAAATGCGAAGAATTTCATATGCTCAAGATGTAGAGTGTATAATGCATGTCATGTAATGTATTGGACCTGATTTGCATTGTGCAATTTATTTTAAGTAGATTTCATAATAATATGATTTGCATTGTGCAATTTATTTTAAGTAGATTTCATAATAATATGGCTCATTGGCAAGTCATAAAAAGAATATGCATGTATATCTATAAAATTAAAAACTACAAATTGTTTTTCCAATATGATAATTCAGATATTAGTGAGTACTCTATTCGGACTTTGCAAGAGACCCAGATAATAAAAAAATGAACCTATGAAATTGTATTCATCTTTGGAGGTAGATGTGTTTCTTGGTTAACCACAAAGCAAGGTTGCATGGATCAGTGCAGTATGGAAGCTGAGTATATTGTTTATAGCATTGCTACTACATATACCGTTTGGATTAGACGTTTTATAAAGGATTTGAAGCTTTGATATAGTTATAGGACCTATTAAATTTTTTAACGACAATTAGGTCGTTATCTCATTAGTTAAAAATGGAGCATATAGCTGCAAGAGCAAGCACTTTGAGATTGAATATTATTATACTTATGATACTATTGAAAAGAATGAAGTAATTGTAAATTACTTACCTTCAGCTGATGTGATTACAGACCCTTTGACAAAGGGATTTAAGTACTAAATTTTTTTCCATGTAAACTTCATGGGGCTCAGAAATTTCTAAGTCAGAAACTCTAAAAAATGATAGTTTTACATGTTTTGGTCATGAGAGAAAGAACTATAATAGCATGAAAAACACCATGACAAGCCTATATATAAATTTTGGTAACTACACCAATGTGAAAACCTTCATGATGAAGATAAGCTGATAAAGGATAAATCTATTGAGTCGTACAAACTTTATAGCATATCAATGTATGCAGTCCTCATAGCCAAGTCAGAGATGTTGGTGCATATGTGGCCATGAGGTTTCACATGTATCACATTTTTTTATTTAACTTAAAACTTTTTTTTCAAAAATATTATATATTATTTATTCCTTATTTTTAGAAAGATTTTTTAGAAATAGAACTATTTTTTGCTCAAACAATTAGTAGATAACTCCTCTATCTCATAGATTTTGAGGGCCATCTTTTCAGAGATTTTAAATAAAAGTCGAATGTTGGAATAACTATAACACTATATAAAATAGGGTTAACTAGGTCACATAAGACCAATTCTGGGCCTATGTGATATACAGTCCAACAACATCACCATCAAAATATGAGATTTTTGACGAGTTCTTCGCTCATCTTCTTTCCTTGGAAACCAGGGGCCAACTCAAAAGATGAGAGGATGAAGTTTGTAAGCATCGGTTATTGATTCACCAAGTTGGAGAGGCTGTTGGCGTTTCCTCTTTAATAGTGAGGATGATAGTATTTCTTTGTTTGAAAGGGCTTATAGTGCAATAGAAGCCAACATTCTTGCATTGATTGTTAGGAGGACCCCAGCTAGCCTCTGTGACTATGGTGATGAGAGGAAACCCTAGTATGGAATCCTTTACTTTTAGCACATGGTGCATATTGTTGCTCCTTTTCCATTCCATCATATATATTATATATTGTGGATCTTAAAGGGTGTCATTCCCATTTTGTAAAGATCTTCTGTATTAGGAAAAGAGCTCGGGTTTAATTGGTTAGCGTTCAATTATTTGCGATGCTACGTCTTAGGCTAAATTCTTATCAAGGTAGGGGTCCCTCTCCACTGACTCACCCAAAAAAAAAAAATCTTATGTATAGTTATGTGGTTTAGGACCATGCGATACACAATTTAGGTTCATGCCACTGGACCATGCATTTGGCTTTTTTCTGGTGAGAGAGATCAGGGTTTCAACTAAGGATGTGATGGGATTTTTTCTTTGAGCTAGACCTTGTATTCCCCAGGTGATACAAGTGTCGTAACTGGTTTTCACCAGACCTTGGTAAGGCAAGTGTCATGATGGTTTTTACCATACTACATTTTTATTTAAGCACTTTTACCTTTAGTTTCTACACCATGTCCATCGCACTTTCAAGTTTTTGCTATGCCCAGTTTATTGACAGTTTTACGTATGATGCTATCGCCCTTTCAAGTGTTTTGCTATGCCCAGTCTATTGACAGTTTTACCTATGATGCCTTTTCGGCGTTTCACCCTACATTTATTTTTTATTTGGTTTTTTGTGTTCTTTGCTTTATTTGCAGTATCTTTCACAAGTCATGTGACTAGGACCAAATATGTGTGACGTCTTTTAAAGTTATGTAACTAGGACCAAATACATGTAATACCTTTTAACAGTAGCGATAGTTTAAAGTCATGAGGTTGTTAGACGATATTGTGGACCTTCCAAATAGCTCGCCATGGGCGGAGCATCGGTGAGCGTCATCATCTGTGACCTCGTACACGAAGTTTAACGCCATGCAGTACAAATGTTATGGTGCAATATTAGGTCGTATGACAGAGACCATGTAAGCAAATTTCAATGCCGTGTTGTCGTAAAGCCCAATGACGAGGTTAAACGGTTGGACATTGCACTTTTTTCACTAACCCGATTTTCTCTCGACAAAGCGGCCAAGGAATTGTCAACTATCCAGTCAGCTAGGCTGACCAGTCAAATCATAACATAGATCCCTTAACCCTATGCCTATAATACCAAAAAATAATACACGTACGGCCTTCTCATATTGTGTTAACACCCCCACTTCTAGTTTACTGGCAATTTACTTCCACCATGCTCCAGTGGATGTTGGATGGCCCTAAGATCATATTGTTAGGGGGATGTTGGATAACCCTAAGATCATATTGTTGTGATAGGATATGAGGTTCGGGCATAAGTGGTTAGGGTGGCAGATGCCGCAACATAATGTCCCACCCTCCATTTTCACTGTTAACATATCAAGGTGGCAAATGCCGCAACATAAAGTCCCACTATCCCTTCCCATTATATTAAAAATAATAAATAAATAAATAAATAAAAGAAGAAGAAGAAGAAGAAGGAATGGTTAGGATCACATGAGTCATGTGTTATAGGTTTTCGAAACTTTATCTTGGCAATTGAAGATGATAATAAATAATTTTAGCAGTTAGCCTACCTAACTATTTTCCTTCTTTTTTTTTGTAGTTGTCCCCTTCATTTCTAATCATTTAAGATAAGAGTGGTCTAGGAATGCTGTTAAGCTTTTAACTCAGAAGTTTAGGCCTGAGGTCGTTATTTTGCAAGAAACAAAGACTGTAGTTCTTTCTTTTGCTTTAGTTAAGGATATGTGGAGTCATGGTGCAGTCAAGTTTGTGGGTGTTGATGCTATTGGGGTTTCTGGAGGTTTATGGGTTTTGTGGGACACCTTAACTCTTCAATGTGTGGATGTTTTGAGGATTGATAAGTTTCTGGTAATCTTTTTCCAAGGGCCTAATAGTGAATTTTCTTAGGGGCTTATTAATGTTTATGGTCATGTTATTTCTGCACTTAAAGAAGAGTTTCTAAGTTATTTGGGTGATGTGTTGTTGTACCACAACATACCTTTCTGTTTGGGTGGTGATTTTAATTTTTTTTCGTTGGCTGAATGATACTTCTTCAAATATTTCACTGAATTCTTCCATGAAAATGTTTAGTTCCTTTATTGAGCGATTCCAGTTGTTTGACTTGTCTATTCCGGGTGTTAAATTTACTTGGTCCAATAATAGTGTGACTAATCTGGTCATGTCAAAGTTGGATCGATTTATGGCTACACAAGAGTGGATAGAAGCTTTCCCACTAGCATTTGTGAAGGCTTTACCTAGATCATCTTCTGATCATATTCCCCTTTTGCTCAATACAAAGTTAATCTGTGGTTGGAAAAAGCCTTTCAGAATGGAGTTGGGATGGTTGGATGAATCGGAGGTGGTGGATTTAATCAAAGCTACTTGGGAAAATTCAATCACCTTTGGTTCAATGGATTTCCAACTGCAAAAAAAGTTACTCCTCATCAAGAAAAATTTGTTAGTGTGGAGAACTGAAAATTGGTTTTCTCTAAAAAACAATATTGACCAGACTCTCTTCGATGTTCAAATGTGGGATCAGAATGTTCAGCAGTCTGGTCTTATGTCTGAGGAGGATCTGGTTTATAAGAGTTTGTTGTTGTCCTCTTTGAAAGAATTTTCTAGGCTTGAAGAAATCTATTGGAAACAGAGGTCTCGAGTTAAATGGCTTAAGGAAGGGCACTGTAATACTAAATTTTTTCTTGCAGTGGCTAGTGCTCGTAGAAGAAAATGATATATCGGGCTTAGTTATCCCTGAGTTGAGTAATGCGGCAATTTGGAGTGGGAAAATAGTATAGTTTTTCATTTTCGAAAAGCTTTCTCTTTTGAGGTTCCTTTCAAACCTAAATTGGATGGTTTGTCCTTTATGTATATCCCTGAGGCAGTTGCGAACAAACTTGAAATAGGGGTAACTATGGAAGAATTAAAAAGTGCAGTTTTTAAACTTCTAGGTGATAAATCTCTAGGACCGGATGGCTTCTCGTTATTCTTCTTTCAGAAATTCTGGCCAATGGTTAAGGTGTATTTATTGAATATGGTGAGAGAGTTTATGAATACGGGTGAATTGTTTTAAGGGTGCCAATGCTACTTTTATAGCATTGATTCATAAGAGATCTATGATCTGTTCTCTCTCTGATATAAGGCATATCAGTCTGCTCACCAGTCTTTACAAAATCATTACCAAACTTTTGGCAGAGAGATTGAAGTTGGTCCTCCCTCTGCTTGTCTCTGATACCCAAGCGGCTTTTATTCAAGATAGGATGATCTCTGATAGTGCGTTCACGGTGCAAGAATGTATCCATTCCAGGTTGTTAAGTAGGGAATAGAGAGTGGTAATTAAGTTGGCTTTGGAGAAAGCCTATGATAGAGTGGAGTGGTGTAATTTAATGGAGATTTTAAAAAATATGGGTTTCGGATCTAAGTGGAGAAGTTGGATTTTTGGGTGTTTGTCGACGGCACACTTTTCTGTTCTTATAAATAGAAGTCCGAAAGGCTTTTTTAGGGCATCAAGGGGACTTAGATAGGGTGATCCCTTATCACCATTTTTATTCATCCTATATGCGGAATGCTTCAGCAGAATGCTTTACAAAATAGTTGAGAGGGGGAATATTTCAGGCTTTAAGGTGGCTTAGAGTGGTATGCAAGTCACCCATCTACAATATGCAGACAACACTTTGTTGTTTTGTGATGCAAATATTTCTCAAGTAGCTAACATTGAGAGATTTCTGAGGTGCTCGGTGCTCATAGGGTTGAAGGTTAATTTTGGAAAAACAACAATGATTGAGGTTAATTGCAATGAGGTAGTGGTACGAGATTTAGCAAGGAGGTTTGGTTGCAGGGTGGAGGGTTTTCCTTTTAAATATTTGGGTCTTCCAATTTCAAATGGAAATCTATCGGTGGCTGTGTGGGACAGTGTTATTCAGATAGTGTAATTTAAGTTAGACCTTTGGAAACCAAAATATCTATCCTTAGGGGGCCGTGTAACTCTTCTATCGTCTTGTTTGGCTAATCTCCCTATCTACCAAATGTCTCTATTACTTATGCCGAGAGCAGTGGCAAAGCGTAAAGAGTTTATGATGCGCAATTTCTTATTGGGTTCTTTTGGAGAAGAGAGAAGGTATCATCTTATTAGATGGGACAATGTGTGTACACCTAAGAAGGAAGGGGGTCTGGGTTTACGAAGGTTGCCTCTGATGAATGATGCGCTTTTGTGCAAATGGTGGTGGTGAATTATTCACTACAAAGACCAATTGTGGTGTAAAGTGCTTGTCTTTAAATATGAGGTGGATAGATATGGCATGGGGATTAACAGGGCAAGTGGAAGGGATAACATCTCTTTCCTTTGGAGAGATATTTATGCATTCAAACAAGTGGTTGATCGTAATGTTGGATGGTTACCTGGGTCGAGGGCTTCTATCTGCTTTTGGCACCATAAGTGGTTTGGAGATGTACCCTTAAAATATGTTTATCATCTTCTTTATGAGAATGTTAGCGTTCCCCAAGAGTATGTTGCAGATCTAGTGGAAATACGGAATAATAAGGTTTGCTGGAATATCACCTTCCCTTATGATAGAATTCATAGCTATTTATATCGGCCTCTAATCAATTTATACAAGGATCTTGAGCCGACATATATCAACCACCATAATGAGGATGAGATTATTTGGGAAATTGAAAAAGATTTCAGTTCACGGTTAAGTCGGTTTACAGTCTTTTGTTTCACGATAGAGTTCGATGGAATCTCCCAAAGATTTCGAAGATTTGGAAGTGACCTATTAATCATAAAGTACAAGTTTTTATATGGTAAGCAGCTCAAGATAAGGCCCTCACAGTTGATAATCTCATAAAGCGTGGGACGATAATTACGAATGTGTGCCTTATGTGTAAGGAGGATGGGGCGACTGGGGCGCATTTATTTATTCGTTGCCCATTCATTTCCAAAATTTGGTGTTGGTGTTTTCAGATATTAAAGATAAATTTAACGTTGCCCTAATATGTGGTGGATTTGATTGTTCAAATGGATGTTCCCTTACTAAAAATTAGTGGAGATATTTGGATGATTCTGCAAGGGGTAATCCTTTGGGGGGTGTAGTTGGAGAGAAATCGAAGGACCTTTGAAGGGGTGGTTTGGAGCTTTGGAAGGGCTTTGAACAATATCAAGTTGTCTTTGTGGCCTTGGTTATCAGTCTCAAAGGTACGCAGAGGAATCTCCAAGACCAATGTGATGATTAATTTGAATAATCTTTTTCAATTAGATGTGCCTAGAAGTAGACCAAGTGCACGATGGAGGCCACCTGACCAAGGGTTATTAAAGCTGAACTTTGATGGTAGTTCTTTGGATAACCCAGGCCCGACAAGATTTGGTTGAGTGATACGTGATTGACAAGAAAACGTGGTAGTGGCTTCTGTTGGTCCTTGTGGTGTTACTACAGTATACCATGCTAAGTTACTTGCTATCTATATAGTTTGAAGATTTTTGTGGCTAGAAATTTTGATGATGGCTATATCATTGAAGGGGATTCAATAAATGTGATTAAGTGGTGTCAGAAAGATCAGCGGTTTCGGTGGCAACTAAAGTGAATAGGTTTGTAAATTTTCGATTTGTTATATGTTTTGACGTGTTCTTTAGTTCATGTGTACAGGGAGGCAAATGATTTGGCTGATTTATTGACTAAAAGGGGAGTAGAAATGGAGTCCTTAATGATCTTTGATAATGTGGAAGCTTTAATGTAATTTGTTTTATCTTCAATGAAGATTAAATTTTGTCAAAAAAAAAAAAGTGGTCCAGCATGTGAACTTAAATTTGTCTAAATGATATACGCGAGGGTTATTATTTTGCATATTTTAGTTGCACGGTGCTTGGCATTTCTAGGCTTTATCCTCACCATACGTGCTGCTTTTAACATAATCTAGTAGTGATCGTAGGCCACAAATTTTCTGCCGTGATGCTGAGGTGGCAAAATTTGTGGCAAGGATTTCTTTTGGAGGAGTCATTGGCATACTCTTCTAGGCCATCTAGTGGTCGGTAACGGGTTGGGTGGACCCGCCAACCCGACAGGTTGACCTAAGGTCAAGGTCAAGGTCTAGGTTTAGGTTCTATTATTTGAACGAGATTTGGGTATGGAATTAGTGAGCTGGTAGGTCTTCTGGGTTTAGGTTGACCCGACCCAAATAGTTTAGATGTATTATTTATATCATTATAACAATATTGTATATTTATATAATCTACTATGATTTCACTATATTATTACACGCTATATAACATACTAGTTAATATAACCTACTATTATATAAGAGAAGGTTTTTAATCAGTTAAGGTCCAGATTGTTTCTGGGTCTAGATCCTATCAGGTCAAGTTATGTCTAGGTTGAGCCCAACCGACGCGAATATATTAATATAAATTATATATACATAAGACTATTTATGTAGTATAAAATATATAAAATAATTTATAATGCCTTTTTTATTTATAGCTCGAGACCTGACCCTACCTAGTGGATCGAGTCCAGGCAGTGGTTTAAAAAACGGATTGATGCTTCAATCGGACATCCCAAAAACCCATCCAAATCGGTGAATAGGCGTTTCAGATTGGGAATCGGTCAGATTCGGCCTTAAAACAAATCCAAAAAAATTATTAAAAATCATTCTAAATGTTGTTTTTAAGAATCCAATAAGAAATAAGGTACTACATTAAGACTTTTCAATTTTTTTTATCAATATGCAAATATTGATATGTTCTTTCCCTGTATGAATAAATTTAAAATTTGTTTTATAATGTCATTTAATTTTTAAAAAAATTATTTACAGCTGTAATAAAAATAATACATTATATAATTTATAATGTAAATAAATAAACAAATATAATACAAGATTTGGTTATCAATATATAATTATTAATAATAAACAAAGGTGTGACACTTACAAATAAATAAATCTACAAAAGTATAGAATTTATAAACATAAATTTGTAAGTATATTATAATAAAATTAGAAAAATATATAACTATCATACTTGCAATATGGGATAATTGACAAATTAACTTTAAAATCGATTTTAAAGTGGTTTGAATTAATGTTATTTTTTTTATTTTAAAATGTTCCATAAACTAGTAATTTTTTAATGGTCAATAAACGAGTATTAATATTATTTTTTATTGTTTTAATATCTTATGATTTAGTATATTTTTTTTTAATCTCTATTAACTAATAATTTAATGTTTAATATTTAATAAAAAGTTATTTTTATTGTAAAAAGCTTAATTTAATTTTTAACAATGGATATTAATACTTGCTCCATATCGTCAAGTTTATAGACAATTAAATGTAGAACTTTAGTGGTGATATCGAACGTTAATACTAGCCCGATATCGGTGATAGCGGACGTTAGTACTTGCCATATACGGAACAATCGTTAATAACCATATCGATGAGTGATAGAGGCCCCACATCGAAAATATGAGAGACCGCATAAAACACATGGCACTGGGCGCCCTCGCCCTCACGAAGTTAACATGCGCAGGGCATGCGGGCGTAGACGACGGCCTCAAAGAGAGGATCAACGTTCTTTTTTGTTCGCTGTTATGATGCCACGTGTAAGATAAAAAAGTTGGTCAGTATCGTTCACGTGTTATGATCCACGTGTAACAATAAAAAAGTTGATCAGTGATGTCACGTCATGTGTAATAATTTATGATGCCACGTGTAACGATAAGAAAGTTGATCACTACGTGTAAC